AATTTCTGCCGATCAGTGTATTCGCGTACATATATATATAGCCCCCTTTTATTGGAATATTGTTATTATTATTATTATTTTTTTCTCATAAAATTTCGCTATCAATTTCCTCCCTCTTTCCTTTAATTTTGAATGTTCTCGGGATTATTTTATTAATTATTTTGTTGCCATTTCTTTATTTTTTTTATTTTATTAATAATAATTTTATGTACTTTTTATTTCTTTAGTCGAGAGGCTTTTCTTGGAAATTCGCTAAGTTGTTTTTTGTTTTTTTTTTTATTGTTATATTGTTTATATCGTTCACATTTTTCATCGTTTCTTTATAAAAAATTTTTTTTGTAGTTATTTCGATCCTCTCGGACAGAGTTGATCCTTTACTGCTTTTCTCTTTTCAGTTCTCTTTTCTCTCAGTAAGAGTAGAACTGTGGACCGATACCCTTTTGAATTCCTTTTAATCCCCACTTCTGATCTTTTTGATCCCCGGATTTGATCCCCGGTTAACATTAATTTTTATAAATTTTTAAATTTTCCCTTTCTTGTTCCAAGTTTTGTTCGAATATCGTTTTCTTTTTTTTACTGGTTTCTTGGCAATTCTTCCAGTTTATCGAAAAGAATTGCCATTGTTAGCTGGCAGGCGGGCCACCCTTTGGTAAGTTTTTATAATATTTTCATAATCCCGAGAACACAAATTATAATTTTTAAATTTTGAAATATGTATACTTTTAATAATAAAATAAATTTTGAAATATGTATAATTTTTAATAATAATAATAATATGTATAATTTTTAATAATAAAATAAATTTTGAAATATATATTTAATATTTGTATTTATTGATTTGTAATTATTATTGGTCGCGAGCAAAATAATTTGCAATAAAATAAATTTGAATGATCGATTCGTATATAGTATAAAAAAAATTCTTTTTTTTGTGAAAACGATTATAATCGTATTTTTCCGCAATTTTGCGCAGCATCATGAGAATATCCAATTTTATTGGTGGGTTGGGTGCATGTTATCCTTATTTAGAAATCGATTTGGCGATTGCAGATAACTACGATTTCCGTGTAATAATAATAATAAGGCATGTATCCATTTTCCAAATTTAAAATTTATAGAAAGGTTAAAATTATAATAAAAATCATGAATTAGTAACACTTTATGGGGTTTCCGTGACTATTAAATTTATTAAATTCGATTCAAAAAAAATTTTGGTTGCCTCAAGAATTTATTTTGTACCAAGTAAACAGCATCTAATTTTTTCACCAATTATGATGTTATAGTTTAATATTATGTAAAAAAATTTTTTTTTGATCAAAAAGTCTCGAAACCCGATTTTCCTAGAGCGTCCCCACTTATTGATATAAATTTCCATTTATTATCCCTTAAACGGTTAATCGGCTATTGATAGCCGATAAAATTTTTCTGATATAAAAAATTTTTTCTATAAATAAAAATCCAGTTGTTGTCCTTGTGGTTTTTGTAAAATCTTCTTTAAAAGTTGGTCGATTGACTGTGTTTACTTTGCTAAATTGATAATTTGTGTTACCATTAAAAAATACTCTGACCGTTTAAGAGATAGTTATTACTGTTGTTATTGTTATTAGACGGGAAAGCGAAATAATTGAGTGAATAAGCTTTACCAGTGAATGATTTTTAGGTTTTATTTAATATGGTTATTTTCTTTCGTTCAAGAAAAAGGTATCTTTAAAATACATGAGATTCAAATTGTTTATTATTATATTAATATACATTCGGATTAATTAATTATAAACTAATTTTGTAGATTTGGACACTTTTTGCAGGGTAAAACGATTTTGAGACAACTTTATCAACTAAAGGTAACTCTTGTGTTCAAGATAATTTTATCGACTAAAGACAACGGATCCAGTGGCTATCGTCTTTTTTTCGATATTGGCCTAGTGCTAACCAAATATTTAACAACTAATGTTAATAAATACATGATAAAATGAATAATAAATATATAAAAAACGTTATTAATATAATAATTACAACGGACAACGAATTTTTGGTAGTGATGGTGGTGGAATTAAATAATACTGATATTACCATTACTACAAGAAAGAAATATAAAAAAAGCCTTCTAAACATTGTAAAATAATAAAGCTCTTTGTGAGGAGCTTTCTTAATTGCAATACTAAAAATAATATCATAACCTTGAGTAGTAAAGTAAGTAGGTAAGGTTTCTATTCGAATAAAACGAATAATTTGAGTAAAAAAAAATATCAAATAATTTGAGCGAATAAACAAATAAAACAAATAAAACAAATAAAACAAATAAAGCAAATAATAATAAAACAAAATTTGTATTACGAATAGAACCCATAAATTAATAAATAAACAAACATATAGCTTTTATTGCGAAATAATTAATTTTGTTCCTTTGGTGTTAATGATTAAATCAATCACACAAGTAGCAGCCAATTTAAACAGCATTGTTTTTAAAGAATAATATTTTTTTATACATCAATCTCAGTCCATATTTATATACTTTAAATTTCTTTTTTTGACAAATAAATAAATTTATCCTTTGCTTTAGTATATTCGAATAGATTTTATTAGATCAAATGATAAATTACAAGAACTCAAGTGTATCAATTACGCGAAAACACACAATAATAATAATAAGTATACAAAAAAAAATATTAGTATTAGCAGAATATGCATGCAATATGTCACATTAATGTTGCTTGAAATAGAAAATTTCGTGATTAGGTGGATTAATTATTGTGAAAAACTATGAATCACAAAAAATCATCGCCCCTATAACCTCAGGTTACATAAAAATCATAAATCTATCTATATATATATTGACACCATTTGATTTCATCAATATTAATAGTATTCATCTGGCTTCGTTTCTTTTATTCCAACAGACAAGACTAAATCAACCAATTCACTAGTTAGGTTATAAAGAAATTAGATTTTAAGATTTCAAGTATGCAGCAAGCAGTAACACGAACATGATAGATATAGTATTACAAAGATTTATTTTTGAATTCATTAAAAAAAAAAAAAAAAAATGTTTTCTTTAAAATTTACACACCATCTTAAATCTTCTTTAACACGTTCTAGCCTGCTTTTTTCGCGCTCAATTGCTACAGAAGCTTCTGCTAATAGCACTGGCGGAGGAGGTGTGAGTTTTTCATTATCGGAAGAACAACGAGATTTTCAAGAGCTAGCAAAAAAATTTGCTACTGAAGAAATTATTCCAAAAGCAGCTCATCATGACCAAACTGGCGAATATCCCATGGATATAATCAAAAAAGCTTGGGAACTTGGGTTAGCAAATACTCATATTCCACAAGAATTTGGTGGACTTGAACTCGGGGTATTTAATTCCAGTCTCATCACCGAGGAGTTAGCTGTTGGTTGTACAGGTATCCAAACAGCTCTTGAAGCCAATAATTTAGCCGAGGCGCCACTGATCGTTGCAGGAAACAAAGATCAAAATAAAAAATATTTAGGTAGAATGACGGAAGAACCTTTGATGGCTGCTTATTGTGTCACAGAGCCCGGTGCAGGTTCAGACGTTGCAGGAATAGCAACTAAGGCTATAAAGAAAGGGAATGATTGGGTTATTAATGGACAAAAAATGTGGATAACAAACGGTGGAAAAGCAAATTGGTATTTTGTTTTAGCACGTACCGAGTTTTCGGAGAAAAGAGCTGGAAAAGCTTTCACTGGATTCATTGTGGATGCTAATACACCTGGAATAACGGTTGGTAGAAAAGAAATTAATTTAGGGCAACGTGCTAGTGATACTAGAGGAATTTCCTTTGAAGAAGTTGTTGTGCCTTCAGAAAATGTGTGAGTTTATATATATATATATATATATATAATTATAGATGGACATATTTTCTAAATTAAAATCAACTTTTACGTTTAAAAATAGTCTCGGATCTCCAGGCGAAGGATTTAAGATTGCTATGTCAGCATTTGATATCACGAGGCCATTAATTGCAGCTGGAGCTGTAGGATTAGCTCGTCGTGCTTTGGAGGAAGCAACTAAATATGCTCATGAAAGAAAAACTATGAATAAATTAATGTATGTCTAATACCATAATCATATTATATATTTATTGATATTATTTCTGTCCTTAAAAATACATACGCGCATGCATAAATGTATACATATAAATAGAATTGAACATCAAGCTGTGGCATTTATGTTAGCTGACACTGCAATAGGGATAGAAGCTGCTCGTAATATGGTTTGGAAGGTTTGTTTGTATAAATAATATTTTATATATTTAAAATAGAAATTTTAGTTTAAAAGTATACTGATTTTTTCCTTTTAATTTAGTCTAGTTGGATTCATGATCAAGGTGGAAAAAATACATATTATGCCTCAATTGCCAAAGCAGTATGTATAATTATAAAATTTTAAAGATTAAAATATTTTCATGATCAATTGATTGATTTATTAAATTTTTATCGAAATATTTAGTTGGCATCAGATGTAGCCGTTAATGCAGCAAGTATGGCTGTTCAAGTTTTTGGTGGAAATGGTTTTAATACTGGTGATTATTTTATTTTGTCTTTTTTTTTTTTTTTTAAACGAATTTTAATTAACCTGATACATTTACTGTTATTTTAGAATACCCCGTAGAAAAATTATATCGTGATTGTAAAATATTTCAAATATATGAAGGAACATCACAGATTCAACGTTTAATCATTTCTAGACATTTATCAGATCTTATAATGAACAACTGATTTATTTAAATTGTATAGATACAAAATTATATGTTTATATAAAAATATTAATAAATTTACAAATTTTTATTTATATATATATTTGTAAAAGAATTTCTTTACATAGCTCTGCAAGAAAAATTTAAAACAAAAAAAAAAGTTAAAAAAAAAAAGATAAATTATTTATTATTATGTCTACTCTTAATTAAAATTAATATCTTCTATTCTTCATTGTGTCATAATGTAGGAAAGTTTTCCTTTCTTCTTCTATTATAATATCATCATCTTTTATGACGAATCTTGAGTTTTTCTGTACAATCTGGACAGTACCATTTACCTTTTGGTGGAGCTTTAAGAGACACGCAAGGATAATGAAACCATTCTATTTCGCATTCATTATTATCGCAAGCGACCATCTCACCCCAACTAACTTGTTGACAATAACAATAAATAGGTTCATTTGGGTCTATCGGCATATCTGCTGCGGCTTGTGAATCATCACTTGTATTACATACACATAATAATAATAATATTAGTTTTTTAATCGTTTACGATTGATTATTTGTGCTTTAGTCGGAAAATGATCAGCTAATCTGACTGAAAATAACTTACGTTTTCTCAGACGCTTTAGATTTACTAGATTTACTAGAATCTTTCTTTCTTGATGATTTATTAGGTTTTTCGCGTTCTTTTTCTCCTGTATTTCGTGAAACTGCTGCTGGTGGTGATGTACCAGTTTCTTTATTATTGTTGTTGTTGTTGCTGTTATTACTATTAACTTTACGTTCTATAAATGTGTTTAAATAGTAATCAGTAATAATTCTTGAATTGTTTTTTGTTTAGAAAGTATAATATACTACTTACTTTTACCAGTTGATTGTTCACTTCCTGTTTTTTTTTTTTTAGTATATTTAAAAAAAAAATCAAAGAACCATTATTAATATGATGGATAAACAAATAAATCAATCAATCAATTTTCAAAACTTAAATTTACCATTTTGAGATTTTTTATCATTCCTATGACTTTTTTCAGCTTTTTCAGTTTTTTCACCCTTTTCTTTATGTTTTCTTGTCGTTGATGGTGACGATGATTCTTCACGAGTATGATGATGTATATTGTTGTTGGTTGTCGTATTTGAATTGTTGTTATTGATTCTACCTGGGCCTGTCATTTGTTCATCTTCAAACTTGTGAAGATCGTCGTCAAGACGTCTAATATGGCGATCAACCTATACATACAAAATACCAAAGAAGTTGATTTTTTGATATTTAATATATAATGATAGTAAGTAAAGCGCACAAGTAGTGGTGTGAGAAAACGTACTGTATTGTAAGTTGAATTTGCAAGTGAAACTTTTTCTGCTCCGTGTTTATTATTATCATTTAAAGTTTTTCCAAGTTTTTTAAGTTCTTCTGCTCTTTCTTCTTTGCTTAAATCATTTAAATGTTCCAATAAATGGAAAGCTCTTTTTGAAACGTTGTCCATTGATTCTTTAAGAAAAAAAATTTTTATTATAATTAGCATTTAGAAAAAAGTGGCCGAGAAAAGTTAAAGAGGTGAATGAAACGAGTATATTATTTACCAGTTGAAGAAGCATCCAATTGACGCATTAATGTAAAATTACGTTGTAACTCTGAAGGAAGAGATTCTAGTGCTATATATATAAAAAGTGGGTTTTAGTCCAAAAAGACCAAACTTGGAGAACTTTTAAAAAACAAAAAACATACTGTCTAAATAGTCATCGAGATATATTAAACTGTTTTCGAGACGGCTTGGTAACGTTGGACCTTGAGAAGGCATTTATTTTGTGTTGTGGAAAAGAATATATTTTTTTATAAGATTTACAATTTATATTTTTTAAAAGAATTTTTCGTGGTGTCACCGCATATTTTTTTGTGATATTTTTCCAAATAAAAATTATGAGCTTAAAGCCTACAAGTGAACAAATCAATTATCTTATACTTCGTTATTTTCGTGAATCAGGTAATAATCATCATCGTCATCATCATCAGTTCTATTTTGATAGATAACTAACCATGTTTATTTTGTAATAAAACTGTTTGGGCGTAAATGATATTAAATTAATCAAAATTAATTATAGGACTTGAGCTTTCAACTTCTGCTTTTCAAGCTGAAAGTCATCCAGAAAGAGCGGGAATCAAATATGAAGATGTCGAACCTGGAGCATTAGTTAACATTGTACATCGAGGTTTACAATATTGTGATTTACAAGTACACTCAAAAAATGTATATATTATTACTTGACTTTTTTATTGTCAAGAATTTTTGATTTTTTATAATAAAAATTTATTAAATTATAAAGGAAAATTTGTATAAATAAATATTAGGACGGTGCATCAGCAGAATGTATTGCACCTTTACAATTAATCGGATCGCATCAATGTATAATACCGTCCAAATCTGATAATAATAACAATAATATCAGAGATGATAATAGAACAACCACAACTGTTACAAATACATCAACAACAGCAAACTCTTCATCAACGTCAATGCCAAATCCAATTAAATCAAGCTCAACAACTGCAATAGCTGCTGTTAGATCAATAACTCCAATTAATAATGTTGAAGCAGTAAAAGTAACAGATGATGATGATGGCGAACCTTTAAGCGAGATTGGTGATAATCAGTCATCCGAGGAAGAAGGAGAGCTTATAAGTGGTGGTGAGGAACATGAAGATAGTGAAGAAAATGAAATCGAATCAGATACATCAGAGGAAATATTAGTACATAATAAATCAAATAATAAACCAAATAATAAACCAAATAATAATAATGATGATAATGATGATAATATTAATAATAGTATTAACAATAATATTATTAGTAGTAATGTTATTGAAATGGAAATTGATGTATCAAAAGATTATTCAACTTCGCCGAATCGATCGCAAGAAGTCAGTAATGAAAAACCTGGTATTTGATATTTTTTTTAATTTTTTCTTTTTTAAAAAAAATTAAGATAATAATAACAATTTAAAAATAAAAAAAAATTTTTTTTTTTCAGAACATAAAAGATTGAAACAAAAATCATCTAAAAAAATACAAAAAATACCTATAAAAGATTCAATATTATTGGAAGGCCATAAAGGGCCAGTTTCACTATGTACATGGAATCCAGTAGACGAAAATATTTTGGCATCAGGGTGATTATACAAATACTTTATTAATCTTTTAGTTAATAATAAATCATTAAAAATTATTTTCTTATAAATATATATATATATAGAGGTTTAGATGGAAAATTAGAAATATGGAGTATATCTGATAGTCAAGAAACACTTTCTAAGCCAGTAGCTATAGAAAACAATTTCTTTGATAATCCTACAGAACATTATATTTGTGCACTGAACTGGAATGTGAGTTTGAATGGGTGAATATTATTATTGAATCTTAATAATAATAATAATAATAATAATAATAATAATAATAATAATATTTATTTCAAAAATAATTATTATCTTAGTAATAATTTGTAGTAATAACTTGCAGTAATAGTAATTCCATTAATAATAATAATACTAATAAAAACTATTATCATTACTATGTATTAGCCTAATGGAAAACTTATTTCAACTTCATACTTTAATGGTTTATCAAGTACATTTACAATTCATGGTAAAAGAAATTTTTTTTTGTTTCCTTTACCATTTTAATAATAATCAATGACATTAATTAATCTTGTTAATATTAAAAATCCTTAGGTTTATTAAGAACAAACCTTGAATTTTATTCTTTATGTTTTATAATATTGAAATGGAATCCCAAAGGAAATTATATACTTACTGGGTGTGAAGATGGAAATATTATCTTATGGGATCCACTTGGAAATGCAGTAAGGTTATATGAAATGCATAATGGTAAAATAAAAATTTGGTAATTTTTATACATTATATAGATATTTATTTATACATGACATTTTGATAAATAATTAATATTAAATTTTTTTTTAATTAATTTCTTTTTAAAAAGATCGAGTGACATCTATTGATTGGAAATCTGATGGAATTTTTGCTACTTCGTCAAAAGACGCGAAAATATTTATTTGTGATGTCAACCAATCTAAGCCACTTAAGAACTATGTTGGTTATCATGAAGATAAAGTTAATGAAATTTCATGGAATCCCACTAAAAAGTATTTAGCATCTTGCTCTGATGATTGTACAGTTAAGGTAAGTAACTACTGAACAATAGTAATGAATATTGGTGTTTATTAATGAACCAATAAAAACTAATATTTATCCAATGACAACCGACATATATTAATTAAGTTATGGGTTGAAAATAAAAAAGAGCCAATTCAAACCATTGAACATGATGCAAAAGTTGAAAGTATTAGTTGGTGTCCAATACAACAACAATCAGATGAAATGAATCATATTCTTGCAACATATTCCGCTGATCATAAAATAAAGATTTGGAATGCTATGAAGAATGAGTGTTTACATATATTTAGAACTAATAATGGACTTATAAGTTCATTTGATTTTCATCCTAATGGACAAATTATTTCCGCTGGATCAAATGATAATAAATTATTTATTTATAATGTTGAAGTATGGTTTCATTACTCTTATTAATTATAATATGATAATGATAAATAGATTGATTATATATTTATTAATGATATTATCTATTATTTTATTGGTAATAATAAAAGTCTGGAGAGATTGTGAAGGCTTTTGGAGTTGATGAAAAAATTCTTTGTATTAAATGGAATATTACCGGAAGTCTGTTGTCTTTATCATTAAATAATGGAAATGTAAGTTTTCTAAAATTAATCAATCTAATGTATATAATATATATATAGAAATAAATATTATTAATTAATTTAATTTTGAAAATGTAATTTTTTTTAGATCATAATATTAAAAACCAAAGCTCTAATGGAATAAATTGAATTAGCTATTGTATAAACGAAATAATAATAATAATAATAATAATAATAATAATAATAACAACGATGACAATTATATTAATAACAATAGTGATAATATAATGTACTCATATATATATATTTAAATAATGGCGATTTTTTATATTTTAGATGTGACTAATTACTAACGAAAATAAAAATCTGAAAATTTGTCCTGGTCTCTAAAATTATTAGTTTTGGCATGATCGACATTTGCAAACCATGTGCGACACAGAGCATATGTTTGATTCCCTGATTTCGTAACCTTTTTAAGAAGGAAAGTAACGCAACTTTTAATAATAATATTCTCATACCTTTCTAAATAGTTTCAAAAAGGGAACCTTTTGATGGTATAAGGAAAAGGCTTATATCAGGTCCATTTGCTAACATTTATTTGTTTATTTATTGAAGCATAACGTTATAACAACAGAAACGAAATGAATTCTTTGAGAGATATACGTTCAGCAGATCATACTAAAAAATCCTTCTCTAACCTTTTGAACGATAGAGTAAAAAAAGGAGAAAGAGACAGAGAGGAGAAATAGAAAGAGAAAAGAGAGCAAGCGAAGGTAAGTGTGAGCGTGAACGGTTCATTATAGGGATGATAATAATCCAACGATCTATTTTGTTTCCCCGATATACAATGAATGATATAGTCATTATTCAATTGTTATTTTTTTGAAAATAAAAATCTTTACTGTATAAATAATCGATATTATCATCATTCTCATAATAATAATAATAATCATTTATATCAGAAGATTTTAGATTGTCACATGAGAAAATTTTGCGAAATATTATTATTTAGAACAATTATTAAAAGTTCCATATTAAAAATTTTTTGGTTGATAAAATACAGAAGCATGAAATTTATACGCATAATCTTTAGGTTTTAAAAAAACTGATAATTATTATGCCCATTGAAAACATGTGGCGGATCATGTGGAAAACTTCATCGGAGGGGTAAAAAATTTAGTGTTTTAAAAAACAGATGTGAATTGGCTTTATAAAAAATTAGCTTTATTTAACAGAGTAATTGATAAACTAATGAATCTAAAATTTTAAAAACGAGATCAAAAATAAATGGAGCACAAAAAATTATGTAAGCCAGAATAAGAAAGTTTAAAAGTTATTTTACTTTGTCATACATACAACATTATTTTTTTAAAGGGATTGATTAAATTCCGCTATTAAATTAATGGGTTGCGTACAGATGACCTCGACCGTGAACTCACTCATTCATGGCATTAGACAAACCGTCAATTAATGCCATTGTTTACCTTTTATTTCTCCACTTAAATATCCACACCTCCTACCTATATTAATATATTTTTGGAGTTGTTTTTTCCGTTAAAAATTTGAAAGGTATAAAAAAGAGGTAGGTATAATCAATATTTTTACTTCTTCAAACGTTCTTTTTATTAAAATAAAAAAATCAAAGAATGCATGCAAAATACTTGGGCAATTAGTCAAGTTCGATCTTCTTTACTTACTATCAAAAAAAAATACATACGTTTGTTCATAAATCTCCTTTTTGTTTCTTTGCGATTTTTTTTACTTACTGTCGAAATACATTTACAAATTACTAAAAAAAAATTATTAAAAAATACTTGAAGTAATTTCTTCGTATTTCTTTCTCCTCTTTCTTTTCTTTGCACTATTAAATACATTTCATTTTTATCTGACGGGTGCGTTACAAAAACAACAAAATAAAGAATAAAGAATGAACCATCTTGGCTATAATAATCACTTCGGTCATAATCTGAATATTAATTTTCTCCGTCATAATCAATTTAATAATGACCACAACTACTTAACAAGAGATCAAATTTTGATTGCAGCAATTCAGCTTATAACAACTGCT